GCGCGGCCATCCCCGCCCCTAGCCCCCCGTGACTACACGCTTATTCGTTCTTGCGCCCGTCTCTTAGTTCTGACCCACTCGCTCAGTAGCAGTTTTGCAACTCAACTCCTCAGGAAGAGTTGGGTAAATTCTTTTAGGAGGCTGTGAGGCTTTCCCGGGGTGGTGGTCTTGGTGTGGGAAGGGGTAACGCTGAGCTTCTTGCCCGGTCCCATCGCTCGTACAGAGAGGACTTTTAAAGTGCGAGTTTGTGCCTCGAACGCCTGCGAGAGCACCTGGAAGCTGAGGATTGCCCCGGCAAGACAGGGGCTATCCTGGGGGGAAGGGTGCACATGTCCCCCCCGACCCCCCCAGCATGTTCGGTCGGAAATGCTGATTTTCAGGGCAAGAGGAGGACAGAGATTTACCCAGGAGGAGTCGCCGGACCTGCCTGTTCCGAGCGCGTTTGGCAGTGTTACAGCATCTCTCAGGGAAAGGGAGGGATGAGGAAGAAGAGGTGTTGCCCGCGTTATGAGAAGAGGCGAATGGGTGTCCCCGCTGGGCTATAACGGAGCAGTGTTATCCTGCACGGCATACGTCCCATCCTTCCACCTGGTTTTTTAGATGCAATTTACTTTTTTTCTACGGCATCTGACTCATGAAGAAGTATTTGCAGAGTCAGCCAAAATTAGCACACGCAAACTCTTTGCTCTGGGTTTTTCTTTTTCCACCTGTCTGTCCTGCTGTCATTCATCTTGTCTACCTGTCCTTGCTAATGAGTTTGCACAGCTATTCCTTGCCTACAAGATCTCATAAAGTCAGATCAAGAGAGAAAAAAAATTAAAAAGAGCTTGCTTAATGTGTAGCCTTCTTAAGACGCTTTACCCCGCAATGCTGAGTTCTCAGGAGTATGAAGGGGTTCTTCCCTCGGTGTTCCAACAATCATGGATTCGGGGTTTTTTTAAATTTTTTTAAATTTTTTTTTTATTTATTTTATTTTTTCCTTTCTTGGGAACAGTAGGGTTTGGCTATCAGGGAGGAAAGTCTCGGGATTTGGGGTTTTTTGTTTTCGTTTCCTCCTGCTTTGTGTTTTGTTTCCTGATGAAAACAGAGGCTGTAGCCCGGGAAGCTGAGCGGGGCCGGGCGCTCCGGGGACGGGCACAGCGGAGCGGCCGGCTCGGGCTCGCCCGCTCGTCACAGAATATCGCCATGGGCCCTCGGGTTGTTTGGTTTTGTTTTTTTTTCCCTCGTTACCCCGTCCCTTAAGACAGAACAGACTCCCCGTCGCTGGAGCCTGGCAAGGAAGTGAGCGGATGAGCCGGGGTCGGATCCCCATCAAATGGGCCGGTTTCACAGCGCCAGCCTTCAATGGGGCAGGATGCGGCTGGCGCTGCCCCCCGGGGCTTTGTTCCTTTGCCGGAGGGCTCAACTCTTTATCTTTTTTCCTTGTTTCAAGATGTATATAACAAATTAAACTTGTTGTCGGGGAGGAGGAGGAGGCCCAGTTCTGTCGCCCGAGGAGGGTACGGGACAGCCGGCCCAGCCCTCCCGGGCAGCAGAGAAGCATGAGCCGGCGGGTATTGCTGGTGCTGGGCGACGTCTTCCCTTTTTCGCCCCTCTCTGCAGAACGACTTTAGTGTTATACCCTATTAAACTCGAGGGCAGGTCTGGTTTCAGTAAGGCTAGCTAAAGAAACCTACATTTGCATAGTGTGTTGATGCGTTTCAGGGTTTTTTTTTTCTTATGCTTCTTTCCCCTCCCTCCTTACCTCCCCCCTTCCGTCCACCCCTCTGCTACTGCACCTTTGCTTTATTGACAGTGCAGTGTGGGCATTTGCACTTCATCTAACAGGCTTTGGAGATCATATTTGTGTAACTAAACCATTTTATGAACTGCAATGCTTTTAAAATGCCCCTGTAACTTGGCTCCTTTCCCCTGCAGTGCACTTTTGATTGTGCTGCAAATGCTATTTCAGCTAGGTTTTTACATTGGTCATGGAGCTTATGTCAGATTTTCACTGACACTTTTCTAAGGTGCAGCCTGATTTCTCTCTCTTTTTCTCTCCTTTTTCTGTTTTGTTGTTTTGTTTTGTTTTGTTTGTTTGTTTACTTTCCAGGTATTAGTTAATATTGGCAACCATTTTGATCTTGCTTCCAGTATATTTGTAGCACCAAGAAAAGGGATATATAGTTTCAGTTTCCACGTGGTCAAGGTCTATAACAGACAAACCATCCAGGTGGGTTAAGATCTTAAAAAGGTGCTGTCTTTCCTTTTTTTTCAAATGCTTATTTCTAAACACTAATGTGTACTTATAAAATCAAGTGAAGAATGAGACTATAGGTTATTTTAGTTAAAGGAGTTTGTGTGCATGACAGAAATCACACATTGCCTTGGCTTAATTCAACCCTATTTCTAATCTGCACAAAAGTTTAGTGATGTGCATAGGGCAGAAAAGTCATCAAGAGTATTAAGAAAACTCAGATTCTCTTTCTTTGCACTTTTTAGGTAAGTTTAATGCAAAACGGCTACCCAGTGATTTCAGCTTTTGCAGGGGATCAGGACGTCACCAGAGAAGCAGCCAGCAATGGGGTCTTGCTCCACATGGAAAGAGAAGACAAAGTGCATCTCAAACTGGAAAGGGGTAACCTCATGGGAGGGTGGAAATATTCAACCTTTTCCGGCTTCTTAGTATTTCCACTATAAAAGAAGTCCAAATAGGAGACAGATCCATGAGCCAGAGCAAGGATTCAATCATTAATGACACCTTGAACTTGGCAGCACATGACAATATTTCCAGTCACCCCGTCAGACTGTCACTGTAGAAGAATGATAACCTTCTAAAACTCCAACATTTGCTTTGAATATTGACAATTCCTCGGGAACCTGCGCCTCTAATTAGTTTTAGATGAAAGTGATCTTTAGGAGAAATGAAATTATCGACCTGAGCAATTTGTACCTGTGATTGTAAAGTCAATTTTGGATTTTATTGTTGGGATCATTGACTTTCTTATTCTTTTTTTTATTAGTTTGGTTTTTTTCCCCTCTTATTTGTTTTTTTTTCCTCTTTTTCTTTCTCTTGTTGTTGTCCCGATGAGACAAATTACTTGGACCACACAATTGCTTTGTCAAAGGCTCACTCCAGAGCCAAGAAGAATGAAGCATTCAGTCCAATGAGGTGTTCTTTCCATGCTTTATTTCTTTGTGTTGTATAGCCTTAAGGAAAAAAAGAAAAAAAAAAAAAGAAAAAAAAAGGGAAAAAAAAAAAGAAAAAAAAAGAATGGCTTCAGTCTCAGTCCTGTATTTTTCTGGGGGAGGGGGATTCTGGACATTACTGTGTCAAGAAGTGCTTTATCCAGTGAAGCAAAATTTGCACGATTGGAACCTTATTTGTTTTGTGTTGTTTGTGTTTTTCATCGACTTTTTTTTTTTTTTCCTGATTTTTGTTTGTGTGTGCTAAAAATGTAAGCTAGATTGATCAATAAGACAAAACAAAGCACATATATACCCTGTAGCTCTAAGTAAAGCTAACCAGTGAACAATTCTGTCTGCACTTTCCAGCTGATCTTTATAGACCTATTTAGAGAAAGAGAAACAGAGAGAAAGAGCGAGAGAGCTACATGATCCTTCAATTGCAATCTGGAAACCGGTAAAGGAACTGACATTTCTGAATTGTCCTGACATTTCTAGAAGCAACAGTGGAGGCTTTGAATATCTTCTCTGACCGTACCCGAAAATATATCCTCTCTTTACATTACCAAGAGTATTTTGGGTGCTTTTATCTGATATTTATTTGGTGTATTTGTCCACTAATGCTTGAGTACACATTATGGGAGCATGGAATTATGGCAAAACAAACTTCTCCACTTCCAAATCAAATACAACCATCTCCACTTGACTTGTGAATGGCAAATATGGGAGGAGTTACCAGTAACATCTTTGACAGCCTTTGGGAGAGGGGTCTCAGAGGATCAGGAACTGCACCAGAAGTTGCATGGGTGCCATGCATTTATTAGCAGGGTGTGAGCTTCTCGATACAAGTGGCCTCAGTTCTGGGGGTGGACTGATGTTGATATTGGAGATTAGGAAGAGTTACTACCCAAGTGACAAGAGGTAAAATATCAGGCTAATATCAAATGCATCCTTTTACCTCATTCTCAATAAACAGGTCTTGTTTGTTGTTTTTTTTTCTTTTGCGTTTTTTGTTTGTTTGTTTGTTTATTTGTTTGTTTTAAGTGGAGGTTGATGTAATAGACAGCGTGCTGAAGAAAATCTTGCTTGAGGAGGTCCAGGAGGAATATTTATACTATATAATATGATTTTTATCTTATTTTATTTAATTAGAAATATTTTGTCTTGCTATTGTTCCCACAAGGGTGGATGTATATAAGGATTTATTTTTGTCAGATTTACTCCTTTGCCACAAACAAATAGAAAGCAAAGGCATTTTCAGCAAATTGGTGGTAGTTATGTTGTATTTCAAAATGATGGTGGACATGCCATTTTCATTGTAAATTTATCATTAAAGGGACAAAGTCAATTAAAGTCATATATTCTTTAAAAAATCTCATCAGTGTTGCTTATGATACCTCAGATGACTAAAACTTAAGCTAATTTAGGGGTTTTTTGTGTATTTTCATCATTGATGCTATTCGTTTGCTTTGATATTTCACTTTGCTGGTTACTGAACGAATGGGTTTCTGGTTTTATTTTTTTTTAATGGATTGCATTTTTTAGTTCCTCGTTATGAACTGGTATGACTTGCAATGTTTCTAGTTGCAAAATATCACAGGGCTAAGTTTAAATACATGGAATAAAACCCGAGTCAACAGCAACATTTTTCTATTAAAATAACAGGATTAGTAATGAAGGCAGTTGTTTCAATGGTAGAGACTGTAAAACTATTTTGAAATCTAAACTTTTTGTGTTCAAAATTTGATCATATCTCCTAAGAAAATAGACATTGAGGTGGGCGTAAGGTCCAAGTTTCAGTTTTTATTACATTCCTCAGTATTTTGAACTTCTGGTTACTGTAATCAGTTTTACTTGTCCCATTTATCTCTGGATTGATTAAGGCAATGACATCTTAGTTCTGGCTCTCTCCTAAGACAAATAGGGTCAATGACAAGGTTTTGCTTGGACATATTATTGGAAGTTTCTTAAGCCACTGATGCTACAGAATCTGAATATCCCACTTCATGTACTCAAGTGCAGTAATTCTGACCATGCTTATTTTATAAAGCTAACTATATTCTTCTTTTGAATATAAAGAAGGTCTTTAATATACTGCCTCTCTCTTCTACTCGTTTGTCCATCATGCTAAGTTATAGAGCTAGAACTGTTACATAAACAGTTAAGTAGAAACCAGGCAGTAAATTCTTCTTGTATATGAACTGTAACCATGGCACTTTTTGAAATTGTTCTGTGCAATATTTATTTTCTTTTTACTTAATTTCGTATCTGACTTTGAGAAGGTACAATCTGTGTGCCACTGGAAACAGTAGGCATTTCATACACACATAAGATGTGTATATCCTGACATAGTTTATGTAATAAGGGGGAAATTTACAACCACCATAGAATGCAACAAGAAATACTGTCTGAAGCCACTTAAAGGAGCCTCCCGGCACATTAAGAGTAAGCTTATCTAAAGTAATATATATATAAATAAATACATTGAGTGACATTCAGAATTGGTATAAATTCAGTGTTGAAGGGCAGCATGGGAGTTAATAAGCATAAAACATACGGTAGTGAAGCAGGCCAGGGGCACAGTAAGGGCTCTGGTTCCTGTGGGAGTAATAACACAACATTCCTTCCAACAGCTTTTAAACCTTCTCATAAGCTACTGTGTAACACAATCATAAGATATTCCAATGAAAACACTGTATGTTTCATTGTTTTTCCCCACCAGGGACCAGTTGTGACCCTTTCACCTGTGTGTCTTTGGGAGTCACTGCTTTAGTGTTCCTGGGGCACACTTTTGGCAGGGTAGAAAAAAGGACATAAGTTAGGGGTGATAAATATTCCTCATATACTTTGTTGCCTTCCTTTGGGTTTTTGAGTTTTATATTCAGAGTCTGAATAAGATCTTCCAAGAGCCTGTGTGCCCTTACTTCACCCGAGGCAGTGGGTGTGATGGATGTGCACTGTCTCTCATTACTGGCCAGCATCTTTCAAGCTGGATCTGTTTATTTTGGGTGGGAGGAGGAGATAGACAGAGACAGGAAAACTGAGGGGTTGTTTAGAAGTTACATTGTGTTTGTTGGCTCTGACTTTTTTAACTTTTAAAAGAACATTTTGTTTTTATTGACCAAATTTATATCTTGGACAATCTGTCAAAGTAGAAGATAGGCTAAAAGGGCTTGTTTGCTGATGGAGTTTTTCAGAAATAGCTGAAAGTGGTTTCATGTCCTTGTAATGTGACATTGATTTCTAGAATAGGCAGGGTCACAGGTAGCATTGTTTAAAAATAGCTGTTATAATTTATAGTCTACTTCAATCCAAGAAAACTCTAGTGTTAACAAGCACTTGAAAATCAGTGTCATAATATATTTCATTATTTTCATTACAGTTAAAGTCCATTAAACAGTTACACATAACTAAATAAAAACAATTGTTTTACCTGGTTTTATTTCTTGTTGAAAGGCCAGAGATTGTCATTGAGACAACACATAATTTCTAGATTTGGAACCACACACTGTCTTGAACAATTGTTCCAGGATCATGTTGGATGAGGTGTGTCATATGCATTTTTAATCATAATGGTAAATAATTATTTATTGTAAAATATTCATCTTAACGCAGTAAATTCTTTTTTTTTCACTTTTCTTCATCGGTCAGAATGCTCAAAACAGGACTTTATGATTGTTAGCTGCTTTTTATCTAGGTCACATTAACAGGTTATAAATTTCTGAGAATGATTTACATCCATTGTGGTTGTGGTTAGACACATACTAGGTGGCTAGCCAGACGATAGGCAAACCTTTTAATCAGCACCTTATATAATGAAGTATCAGCAAAATTCAAGTGCTCCATAGTAGAATAAATACATTGTTATGTAATGCTGATTTATTAAAGACCTATAGCGGAGCTTATGAAAAACATCAATCGTATTTGACCTGAATTGTAGGTTTGGGGTTTTGGTTGTGATCTACTATTAGATTTACTTAAAAAATCAGTGACAATAATCAGTGCAAACCCTTAATTAGCACAATAATAATTCCTTAAGTGTATTTAAACTTTAAATGTATTTAACACTAATGATAATTCTGATAATGCAATCAAAGCCCTACAAATATATTTGAACATACGTTTTAAATCAATTTTCAAAAGAGTAATGTTTCTGGTCATATCAATATAATCACACAGCTAATATTTTTTCTTTTATCCTTTATCATTAAAATCCAAAACTGCTGATCATGTTTTATACCATCTAAGTGTAATAATGAAAGTACACTTAATGTACCAAGTTTATCTAACATACCACATTTCTTCCCAGGTGATACACATTGAAGTATTTTGTGAATCCTTTCTGCTCTTCATCAGCGAAATAAAGGTGTTTAACTTGCTTGGTCTCTGCAGATCACATACTACAGATAGTATAAATAATGGCCTAGCAAGACATGGAGAAGCAAATAATGAGTACTATTATGAATTCTGCACTAAAAAAAAATAAAAAATATATCAACAGAAATTCAGGTTGTATAGACAAATGCTTAAAAAAATTCAGAAAATATTGAGGTTGAGTTTTTAAACTAATGTTCCTTATACTACTGCCGTTGTAATAATGAAGAGCTATTTTTACTATGGAAATCTAAAAAATAATTTAAATTATTTTGTTAGATTAGCTGTAATAAACAGACTCTTGTTTAGAGCATAGATATGACTCAACAGAAATGTAAGTTCATCAATTAGTAATGAGTAGTTATTTAGCATTCTCACTATATCTGTTATATTGCAACTAATTAAAACTACTTCTTTGGAATGCTTTTATTTCTCTGTCTGTGCATACCCACACATGTGCATATATGTACACATGTACAAAAATAATATTTTTTTTAGCTAGCAACGGATGGACAGAGTTTAATTTTTCTTACATAGTATGGCCTCCCTTTCTCCAAAGCATTACTCTGACAGATTAATTGTTATTTTATTTATTATAATTCTAAACTTGAAACTGTTCATCTTTGCTTACATCCAAAAGTGCACAGAGTAATAGCAAATGGCAGTCTACATTTCAGTGCTGGGAGCTGACTGAGTTTAGATAATACTACAGTACAATTAAGCAGAGTTAATAATAGAAGACGTCTATTGCAGCAAGATCCATTGAAAGATTTTGTGACAAGCAAACCTCTAGTACTGTGGGGAAATTGCTTCAAAACATCAGCCAGGGACATCTTACAGACCAGAGGTTCAGTTTGTGT